GAAAATTTGCCATTCAATGGATTGGCGCCAGTGTTCCAGGGCGTGATGGGTTTTCGCCTGGCAAGCGTTCTCCCTATAAAAAGCCACAAATGTCCGTTTAACAACACTGCAACTTGGCGTATGTGACTCGCCACCGAATAAAGTCACAGCCCATAACTTCACACTGGCAGGTCAAATAGCGTCACCATTCTAGATAGGTTCGTTACACTGGGACTTCTACATCTGCATATACTGTCGTATTTTTACTTTCTACTATACGTTGACCTTTGCGTTACTTGTGCACCAACTCACTCTATCGGCATATATCTCTTGAGCGTGCTCTTCCATTACCTTCCAAAGGATCATTCAGGATTCTCAATCTATTATTAGCTGAGGTCCCGTATCTCATGACAGCCAAATTATTGTTTCGCATTTTCACCATTGTACTGTTCCAGTCCTGGACATATGAACAATTTTCTACGGTTACAGTTGCCATAAAATGTTTGTACAGTTGTACATTTCTGATCATGCCTCCATGGGCTTGCCACACATAGTCGAGAATAACTAATTATTTAGTTGTTCATTTATTTATTTGCTAAATATTTCATAACAGTTGCGGTTAGTGAAACGTTCATTGCAATTAGCCCCAAACATACCGTGACGACGGACGCTGGTGTGGAATGAGGCAGTGGTAATTCCTTGGAAAGAGAGAACTTTGCATCGATCGGACGAGTATAAACAAGGAGAAGATAAGGGGTAATCCAAAAATGTCAAACGCATCCTTGTGCACTGTTGTGTGTTTTGTATCCACTTCAGAATGCTAGTGGGGCCAATGGGGCCCATAAAATTAGTTGCAGGGACTGGGTGCATAAGGGCTCAGGGAAAAAACAGCGTGATATCCTTGCTCAAAGTTGGTAGAACACAAGAGGTGCCTTTCGCTTCACCAAAGAACGAGCCCGATTGTAAGGCCTTAATAACATATTCGGCGGTAGCAGTAAATGAAGTAGACTTGGGAAGTGCAACTGACCGGGAGAATGTAGAAATCATGTGCAGAGTAGTGGGAACGACAAGCCTAGCTTGATTGCGATGAAGCCACAGAGCATCTAAGCTGCTGATGGCATAAACAGAATGGGCGGTTTAGAGTTATCGAATGCGCGGTGGACTATCTTTACTCTGACTGTCTGAGCAGCACCGGCGGACGGCTTCAGGTTGGAGCGAAATTGTCGAATTATTCTGAGGTTTACTCCGGTTGAGATTTCGCGCCAGAAAGCAATATAAACGCAAGAAAAGATTGGCTATATTTTTTGTTAAGTTGTATTTTTCTAGTGAAGCAGGCCACCTTAGTACGTCTCTTAGCAAATGCTTTTTTATTTGAATTTCTAGAACGTATTATTTACCATTTCGTATCCCTTATAATTCCGCTACTCTCATTTCTTCCATGTGTTCACCAATAATTCTGGCCATGGTGCGGGTCAAAAGTCCAATGAATTTAAAGTGAAATTGTGGTGAATTGGATCCTGTTCCAAAGAAAACGACACAAATACAGCTCTGCGCAGGTTGCACAACAAAAGGACAAGGAGCTCAAAATCGCCCAAGGAATAAGAAAAATTTCACGGTGGACGCCTGCGACCCCATCAGCTGCACACCAAACAACGCCAATGCATTTGTAACTGCCAACTAGTAACATATACTTGTACGTTGCCTACTTAATTGCAGGAGTATAGGATTAAGGTAAAGTTTAATCGGAACCCAATAGGATGCAGCCACTAGCCAGTCTAGAAATATACCTATTTATTTATTTATTTATTAGTGAAGTCAACGGTGTCCCAAATGTGTATGGCTCGCTAATAGGATCAAATGTTTAAGTTACACGCTCATTGCAACACTACGTTGAACCCTTGCCTCTTCGAAAATGTGACCACATTTATCCACTGCAAAGGGGAAGTCCTTGCTGTAAAAATGCCAAGCTAGTCATATACTGTTTCCACTAGTCTGAAGAAACGCGTGCGTCAATGTCGGAACTAGCCAGGATGCAAGCCCATGCACATCAATTATTAAATCCAACTTCAAGTGAGGCGCGAAGAAAAGAAGATGCTCATAGTCGGATCATCCTGAATGCATCCACGTTCGCTTTCGGTGTATGATTGACCGAATGGTTGAGCCAAATCAGGAACTGCAGAACAAGTCTTTGTCAAAGCACCAAAACCCTCGCTCCCTGTCGTAGCAGACGTCGTTGCTTCGGCAACGTGCAGCAAGAAATAGAGGAGTAATGTTGTGGTCTGGGTTTCAGGTGCGATAATACTACACATTTGAAGGGGGTTTACTAAGTATCAGCAAGAAGGAAGTTGATGGAAGAACAGACAAAAGCGAAATTAGGAAACGTAAGGGCATTATCGGAGCGGCCTATTGGTAAAAGCTATCAGTGTACGTTCTCCTTCTTATGGACTATGCTTCTAGTTTTTCGAGCCCAGAGCACTCTCTGTTGAAACTGCTGGTGATCCGACGCGTCCTAGTTAAGGGTGGCAGCGAGTAAGCTGAATGGAATGTTCCACAACACTTGGAACTCGATGCTTCTTGGAACGATCTATTCTACAATTTGTAGCTACTCATTGCGGAGGTGGCCCCATTTCACAGTAACAGGCCTCGCGCTAAAGTCCCTCGGATCAACCAAGTACGCAGGGCCAACATGAAACAAAGAAGAAAACTTTGGAACTAATTCAATCTTTCTCTCTTAGACTGAGACTACTCTAGTTACAAGGCCGTCAGGAAATTCTGCTCCCTGCAGAAGCGTGAAATGACGCAACTCTATGGGCATAGCTTTGCTGAATCATCCCGGTTGAGGTCAAAGAAACCATTCCCATACTTTAACAGATATTCAAACGCCGAGTGTGTAATTCCTGCATTAACTACGAATGAGCAAGGCATAATACTTTATGACACGGCCGCCAATTTTAACCTTTTAGCACTACAGTACTTCTCAGTATACACAAAGGGAGACCATGGCAAACAGCCATGTACTTGCACATCAAGTACCTCTGTGACATCGATACAGGTGATATCTAGAACTTCTTATTAGAAATGAATTCAAGATCCTCACCAGGCCCAGATGGGCTATACCCCCATTTTGTTTAGATGGTAGCATTATCCATTGCCGCACCATGCTGTTCCATTTACAAATCTCATAGTTGAACGACTAACGGTCGGCTGGAAGACGGGGTAGGTTTGCCAAAATACAAGGGTGGAAACCGCCGGCACCCTGCGAACTATCGGCCAATTTGTTTGAAGTCGGTCACCTGCTAGTTAATGGAAAATCTCATCAAACGTGCCATCCACCGACACTGCGAAGATCTAAACCACACTTCTTCTACTCAACATGGCTTCGGAAGGCAAGGTTCCTGCGAAACTAACCTGCTGGGCGTAAAAGAGGCTGAAAGACTTTTAGATGGCGTCTTCATCGACTTCTGCAACGCTTTTGACGGCACCCGTCATCTGAAACTACGCCTTAAGCTTCGCGGAATTGGCATAACAAGGGACGTCCTACCATGGATCATGGACTTTTAGCAAACCCGGAACATGTAAGTCAATGTAGAGGATACTCTTTCATTTCCAGCGCCTATGTCCAGTGGCGTACCACAAGGCTCCGTTCTCGGACCGGAGTTGTTCAAGCTATATATACATGACCCACCTAGTATGCCACAAACAGACTGTCTGATCTATGCAAACGACCTCAACCTATGGTCGGAAGTGTCCAACCTCGAAGACGCCGACGGATTACGAGAAAGGTTTGAGCTACGGCACACCTGGTCTATCAAATAGGGTTTGCCGGTAAACAAAGAGAATTGCTCTGTCCTATTCATTCGAGCTGCTAAACCACTGGACGTCATTTTTATGGTAGCTGGTACCTATTCAAGGTTGCCACACAGGAAAAGGACCTGGGGACAGTAGTATGCTTTACTCACAGAACTACCTGTGGCAAAAAGCTTCCTCGGCGAACAAGATGTAGGGCGAAATATGGGTAGCATTCTATAAAAGGACGCCGCAGTTATTTAGAACTCTCTTTAGCTTCTACATCCGCTCAATCCTTGAACTTGGCCATAGCCTCACTATCGAAGCATGAAAGTGATAACATCGAAAATTTCAGCCATGCTCCTCGAAATTTGTCTTTGGGCGACACGAACTCCCCTATCTCTCTAAAATATAGAGGAGGCACCTTTTAACTTAAAATATCGCCGACGTCGCGGAGAACACATCTTCACTAGGCGTATCCTACGAGAAGGATTGGGGAAGGAGCTATGGCAGATTTTCTGCTAAGACTTGGCAGTTCGACTCGAGGTCATAGTTGGAAGCTGTTTAAACCGAGTGGTTCAAAGTCCACTCAGATGTTGTTCTCTCTACTGGAGTAGCTAATGACTGGAACCGACTGCCAGACCCGACTGTCAATCCGTAATCAGAAGCTAAGTTTTAACGTTTTCTAAACATCATCCTACTGAGTAATCCAGGATCCTGCATTATTGCTATTACTTCTTGCGCTAGGCCACAGCTACTACGCCTGCAATCCTTGGAAGCACGGGAAGGGAGAAAGCTGACTCGGGGCCTCCTTTCAGCTCTCTGCCACTCAATGCACTCAATGAACTTACTGAGTTTCATCAGGGTGACCTTGAGGCTGTCAACGTGGGTGATTAAACAACGCCCTCGGGCAGCGCCTTTCAGGTATCCATCACACCACGTGACAAACGAGGGTTAGACCGAAGCCAAACAGATCGGAATGACGCGTTACACAATTCACTTGCGAATGTCCGCGCGCATTGCGTCACCAACTTGACTCATTGCCACCATGAAACTGTGAACAGATTTATCCACCGCACCAGGTTATTTCACTCCATAAAATGTGTTCTGAAAGCTGAAACGTTAACAGTGACCTATTACTGTTTAATTTTATACAAATAACGGGCGCATGTCAACTGGCGAATTTTCTGGACAACTGATTTCCGTGAGGTAGAAGAATCAGGGTTCAGGTTAGGCGGGAGTTGGTTTCGTCCTTGGAACCCGCCCTGACCTAAACTGACTTGACCTATCATGATCTGCCTTTAGCGTTAGACGTTGATGGACCGTGTTTTTAAAAGGCACAGGGTTGCCGAACTAAACGTCGTGAAATCTCAGCGCAAGTTCTTATCTGAGAAGGATGCAACTCAGCGCTTTAAATATTTGAAAACTCTAATCAGTGCGTTGTGCTGCCACTTGTCATTGTTTGCTCCCAGCAAGCTTACCGAGAACTGAACTGCACAAGTTTTTCGTGAGCAACAGATCTTGTATATTTTACACTTTCACGGATCTGTTTTTTTGTCCTGAACAAGAATCAAAGCAGCGAGGTTTGTTGCCGCTTAATTTTTTAATCCGATAGCGAACTCGAGCTATACTAAGGATTTGAAAAGTGTGCTTACCCTCCTTGAAGTACTCCGATACCCTCAATTTCATTTTATAGAATATTCTGACGTTGCTTCCTGATTATATTCGTTTGAGATGGCAATACAACTCTATTGGTAGTTGTCGTATCTTTTTTTATCTGAATTAGTTGAGGTTTTGGAGGAGCTTCTTTGTGATAGAAATGCGTTGTCAATCAGGAAATATGGGATCAGACTATTCTTGATATGGTACCAAGTGCTCGGAACAAGTGCGACACCTAGATGTCATCAGATGTTTGTTAATTTGGTTCCAAAGTTTGGCACATGGATCTCTGATTACCAAAATCGAGGTACCTATCGCAATTTCTTTGATATCCTCCTAGGATCCCTTAGCACTTCTGACAAGATCCCTTCACCCCTCCTTAACTCATCTAGGTCTTATTTCGGAATCTCACCTCGTGAATGTACTCTGTTTACCTTCCCAAACTACGAGGAACGTCAGTCGGTGAGTACTCTTCAGTCTTTCCGTTATCATATCACTTATCTTTTAGAGTCAGGATGTCGGGCGGGAACTACTCGAGCATTTCCTTAGGTGCTTGGTGTCAGATGTGTTATCCGTTACTTGGAATGATTGCCCACAGGATCAACATCTTATGCAATTTTGGTTCCTCTTTGAACAACTAAAACACACATACCTACCGGTAATCTTTCCGTGGTAGGTCCCGTTTTATTAGAATCGATTCTCAGCTATTTGGCGTGCTTTCCTTATCGCCTGTGATCATTTAATTTTGGTACGACCTTACGCTGTTCTTGGTGTTTAGCTCCACTCAGATTGACTCGCGAATTCGGTGTCGAACATTTTCTGTCCTGCACTAAAACCTCTACTGTTTGTTGTTTAGTAGTGATGGATTGCAGTCCTCGCTGTATGATCAGTTGACAAAACTTTTGCTCTACCGATTTTCCTTTGTCACGTTTTTCGATTGTATACTTCGTTGGGCTTCCGCGCAGTCGTCCATATTACACCCAACACTTCGTCAGATTCCTACTGCAACTTTGGTTGTCTTCTAATTTGTTTACCGAATCGAATTTCACACACAGTATGTCTTTATTGTCATAGAATGATCTCCGCGAGTGTATCCTGAAGGGTTCACGGCCGTAAACCTGCTTTCGTTTTTTCTTGCTACCTTCGACAGCCATGTGCAACAGTAGTTAACACCTGTCACCAATTTTGATTTGTCACCGAGTGATCAGTACTCCCCAGCGTCAGCCTACACGTTGGCTGTCTGTCACAATCTTTTTCTGTAACCTCAACGGTTGTGCCATAGCAACAGCTCATCTGCATTTTACTGGGTAGAATCTCGATTTTCCGACACAAATATTCTATTCAACATAGTACAAGTCGTACTTAAATAGTTGGCGAATGTCTATAGTGGTGGCTTGTCGTCTACTACATTTGTTCAGTTTTGCCGATTGCATCTAATAAGGCATCAGCAGCACACCAATGCTTCCTGAGCAAGACATAAATCTTACACTGGTACTCCGTACTGACGCTGCGCAACCACGCCAGGACTACCAGTCGCGCGCGGGTTAGGATGTGCTTAGGTAGCTCGCATTTAAGATGATTTAAACCGGTGATCTAAGGATTACACGACAGATGCCCTTTACTAATCGGCTATCAGCCAACTTAGTACCTCGTACTGTCGCTTCGCTGCATCGTGACCATTAGCATCTACGTGGATGCTAAGGATACTGCGCCAGTCCGGACATGTGACTTATGAACAGCACACCGCACCAGGATGTCTTTGAAACTCATATTGCCCACGCTGACTGGAGCATTTACTTCATGTACTACCGTATGTTTCGCCAAAGCTATGTGTTACTTCGCAGTAGCCGGCCGATGAAGTGATAGATCTTAAGGCACTACTAGGGATACTGTGTACTTTTAGCGTTTTGCCTTTTCTGTTAGGAGCCTCGGCTGCGCGAGTATCGGCCGCGGCGCATCGACCATACTGTATTTGCTCCATTGTTTTCACTTAACGTCATCCGGTATTTTCCTTTTCTCTTAATTTATTAACACATGGTTAGTGTTAATGTTTTGGCAACAAGTTGACACAGCTGGCACCAACACACTTCGATGCACACGTCAATCTTGATCAGATGAACTGTTTAAAGACTCAGGGCAGCAGTCGTAACTCTAATGTTGCTCAAGTTACCTGAGGCTGACTCAAACCAAATTCCTCTGGGAACACTTCCTCTAGCTTTACTGATTCCCCGCGTATTCTGTGTTAGACTCCATCGCGAAAAACAGAGTGGATAGGGGTTTGGAAGCTGCTGCTCAGACTTTCCCGTCTTCTTATCCCCCTTCTTGCGCTATTTCATCCTTTTCGTTCCGTTCCAACTTCACTTTCATCCCTCTGTTTTCAACCCTCACAATTCTTTGTCCTCCCCGTCTTGCTTCAGTATTCGCTTGCCTTCTAGTTCTAACTCACACGCAATCGCAGAGCGTCTCTCTAGTTTAATCGAAAGTCCATGTTCAGCCAAGCGAACAACCTCAGTTCATCGATCCTCTATAGGACTAACATGCCACGACGTGCGCTCTTTGTTATATCTTGGCCAACAGACAGCACTTGCCCGAACACGAGAGACCATACCAATCGATAGTTGCTACTTATCGGAAACCCATGTGCACGAGTTGAGCTTCGTGCTTACCCTGCGGTCCCCAGCATGCAACACTTGTGGCATTTTCTCATTGCGCACGTGTGGAGCTGACGCAGCCCCAAATGCCGATCAAGCCGGTTTTGGCATTGCTGAGTCCTCAGGCTGTAGGTACCCTGGTCGATTGAATCCCAGTCAGCTGCAGGGTGTCCGCCGTCAGCTTGGCTAGCACGTTCAGAGCTTTGAAGTCGCACGCGGACAACCGGTGCATGTTTGTCATTGCAACATACGTACCTACAAACTGTTGCGCTGACTCAGTGAAAGATGAATTCTACCACCATTTGAACCAGCTATTTAATCTCGGAAAGAATACGAACTCTGTGGTGCTCGTTGGCGATCTGAACGCCCAAGTCGGAATATTCTCCTCTGATGAACTGCATCTTTATAGCCAATATGGTGTAGGCTGCTGAATTGGTAACTCTAAGCGGTTGCTACACTTATGTGAGGATGCAGCTCTGTTTCTAGCCAACTCTAACTTTTGACACAACACCAGTCGGGGAGTAAATGGTTCCCACCAGCCGCAGACCGGCCATGGACGCAAATTGATCACATCCCGGTCAGTTGCCGCTGGAGAATACTAATAGTAATGTGCCAGCTGTACGCCGTAACGGCACTTCGCTGCCTCGCGACCACAGCCAGTCGCGCGCGGGCTGAGTATACCGTGAAAACGCCCACCTCCATGCGGATTCAAACCGGGTACCTTATGGTTACAAACCAGGTACGCAGCAGTACATCAGCCATTTAATCTGATGCTTCGCTGCCATGCAACCTTGATGACCCATGAAATAAAGAATAAGAAGAGGGAGAGAAGGGGGACTTACCGGAAAACCTTAATGCCCCAAGCAAACACTCAGGGTCAAGGCGCCTACACCATGTGTAGACAACATACCATCACAAACAGCTGGCTATTATACAACAATAAGGCGGCACCGGCGAGACAGCTTCCTTGAGGTTTTCACTGCCCCGCGTCATAATCACTCATTATCCCGCAGGTAACTCAGCAGCAAACACACTTTAAACAGGCAATCCGATTAGGATACGGCAGCAGACGTGCCACTGGTGTCGGTTGCGAGCCATATCCCGTAAAGTCTCGAGCCAAGCACAAGACGAGTCACGTGGACTCCATCCCGGAAAGCGAGAACGACCAACGGCAACCACTTTGATCGTCAGTGACTTCATTACCCGCAGCCAAGTCAACTTCTGTCCACCTCGAGTCTCGCGACACCCTACACTGGGCAGACTAAACAAGGCCCTCCTAGATAAGCAGTGACCAGGCATACGTAGCACGTGCCCGAGCCAACGCAACTTATTTAGTGCTATCTATTTTTCTAGAGAGCCAGCATGATTGTCACTACCTAATACTCACCTACGCGCATCATCGTTGCGGACACGCTGGTGCCATCTGACACTAGCAACGCTTCGCAGACAACGATGATCAAAGACTTGAAGGCGCCTCAGCTCTTCAGACCAAAGGGGCCAAGTCTCACTACCATAGAGCAGAACGGCCCTCACTGTGGCCTTGTATACGCGGCCTTTCAGACGGGGGGACACTCCCTTCTCTCGCCAAAGATGCCGCAGGTTCAAGAACGCAGTTCTGGCCTTTGCAATGTGTGAGCTGACTTCAGTTTATATGCGCCCATCGTTGCTGATGCAGCTGCCAAGATAAGTGAATTGATCAACCACCTCGAGTTCCTCGTTAGCAGGCGTCAAGGTGTCATCCAGTGGTTGGTGGTCCTGCATCAACACTTTGCACTTCGAAGGTGCGAAGCGCATACCACATAATGGGACGACTCTAGACAGGCTATTCAGAGTTGATTGTGTCGCCGCAACATTGTCGAGAAGCAGGACGATATCGTTCGCATAATCAGTATTAACTAATCTTTCATCAGTAAGCACTTCAATGCAAGAGAACACTCCATGATAGAATCCACAACGAAATGGAACAAAAATGGGCAAATCGGGCAACCCTGACGAACGCCACTTGTGATCGGAAAGCTATCCGACAGGTCACCGTAGACCCTGACGCGGCCTGTAGTTTTCGAGTACATGGCATGTAGGATGTTCATGTATTTTATGGGAATACCTTTCCGCGCAATTATTTCGAACAGAATCGATCTATCGACTGAATCGTACGCACTGTTGAAATCGAGGAACACAGCTATTGTCGGTCTGCGGTATATGTGGTGCTGCTCTAACTCCTGCCGCATAGTGAATATATAGTCTATACAGGCACGCCCTGGGCGGAAACGGGCCTGCTCTTCCCTAATCCGAGATTCCCGTTCCACAGTGAGGCGACAAACGAGAATGGAAACCAGTAACTTTGTCACAACTGGTGTTAGGCTAATGCCCATGTGGTTAGAACAGTGTGTATGACTGCTCTTCTTGTATATTGCCACTATAATCGATTCGCTCCAATTAGCCGGCACACTCTTCGTTCCAGATACGTTCGAATAGGGAGGTCAGTGCTTTGCAGAGGACCTCACCTCCACCCTTTAATAGTGCATGTGGGTGGGCATCCGGGCCAGCGGCACGAAAACGATTGAGGGCTGCGATCGCGTTTCGGATCTCGGCATCCGACGGAGGCTCTAAACCAATCGTCCGTGGCTCGTCCTGCATCGCCTGAGTAGGAAGAGGTCCGGTAGCAGGGAGTCAGCTGAACTGATTTTGAAAGTGTTCCTCCCAGCGAGCCATAGGGCGCTCCTTATTGTGTATCAGTGCATCCGCACTGTCTGATTGTCTCACTGACGCCTGGTTTCCTGGGACCAGTGGTGCGGATCAGCTGAAAGGGCTTGCGGTAGTTGCCTACTGCTCCTGCCTCCTCCATTTCTTGAGCCCTGCTGGTCCACCAGGATTCCTTGTCAGCGCGTAAACTCCGCTTTAGTTCACACCTAATAGCCCGTCTGTTCACATTATGCTCAGATGCAGTCGGGAGGTTTCTTCTGGATTCCAACCGGTTCACCGACCTCTTGGATATCCAGTGACTGGTGCGGTGACGATTGA